TTATTCGTGAAATATATAATTAAATGATGATAAATAGAAATATTCCATAAAATATGCATCTTAGATATGAGTGTATATACAGCACCTTCGTTTCAGTTTTGTTTTCATTGTTTAGTATACTGGTATGTTTTGTTGGAACGTTTTATGTGTAATTTAGGATCACCAAAGGAGATGGGCGAACATAGCGTGCAGAAAGCCTATAGCTTCAGATATATAAAAAATCATGTTCAGTTTGTGAAATTAGTATTAAGAATAAAGTTCTCATTATTGAAATTTATGACATTATAATAAACAAAACTTTTCTGAGGAAAATTTTCTCGGCAAAATTTATTGTTTTATTAAAAAAATAATGTGGTATTCGTGGGGTTCGAACCCTAGCAATAAAAATCCTGAATATCATTTTCTTTCAGGACTAGCACGCTAATCACTAGGCTACACAAGTCCTGATGAAGAGTGGCATTTAAATCATGTTTGTGATATGACCCTTGACTTAATGGACCAAGTATTTCTCGAAAAGATGCAAATGTTATATCATAAAAGTATATTTTTAAGGTATAGTGGGTCATTGCTCCATATTTTTGGTAACCCAAAAATGTATATTTTTATGCAAACTTTGAGGATTAACTTTCAAAAAAGTGGAGCGAAGACCCACTCATATCGAAAAATTGTGTTATAGTATGAGAAAATGACTCTTTTTGCCCGTTTTAGTGTGTATATAATATTTCATAGGCAAATAATTTCAATCTTTGAGAGATTTTTGCAAATTGTAGAGATTTTACATAAAGTATATTTTAATGTTAGACGAAATATCAAGGAAAATTTTGATATAATTGAAATTTAATTTTTCATCTTCATGTTTGTCACACTATAGGCTTATCGCTCGTCATGTTCACCCATCTTCTTTTCCAAAAGACGTGATTGATATTGAAGATGAAATCCAGGACTTGAACAGGGTAGCCAAAATGTTCGGGTTAGGTCATCTATAAACAATCTGTGAGAACTGCCTCACAGAACAAGAATTTCTGAACCCGAGCATAGGGACGTATCTAAACGACGAAACAGGAAAACGAATGAAAGAGATGTTTTTGAATAACCCTGAATATGCTGATGTAATATTCCATGTTGAAGGTAAATCAAATTTTAATTACGTTAACTAAAATAGTTATTATAAAGATAAGTTTGTTATTCATTTTTAAAAGCCTTTAAGCATTGGTTTGTTTTATTCCAGGGACTAAAATTTATGCCAATAAAGTTGTACTCGCAGCCAGATGTGAAGTAATGTCAGTCATGTTTGGTGGAAGTTTTGTGGAAAGTCTTAGCACTGTGTCTGAAGTAAAGCTTCAGGAAGTGACGTCAGAATGTTTCCTGGTTCTTTTAGAATACCTCTATACAGACCATGCCCCTATAGAAGACGTCGACTCGGTGGGAGTTTTGATTTTGGCGGACGAATGTTTTAAGCTTCAGGAAGTGACGTCAGAATGTTTCCTGGCTCTTCTAGAATACCTCTATACAGACCATGCCAACTTAGAAGACGTCGACTCGGTGGGAGTTTTGATTTTGGCGGACGAATATTTTCAAAAGAGACTTATTAATTTATGTGAACATTAATAACAATAGAAGTTGATCGCAACGTCACCAAACAAATCGAGAAGTCAGAAATTGACGTCATAGGACTGTTACTCAAATCTCAGGTAAGTTTGTTTGGAACTAATTTATATCTCAGGTACGTTGATCAGATTGTTGATTGTAGCCCATCTCTGAATGCTAGTATTCTGTAAGGCTTATATTTAAACAATAAAATGTTTTCTTTGGTTGTTAGTACGGGAATTAATGTTGCAGCTGTTGCAGAAAAAAATGCATAGTACATATAAAGTGACGTTGCGATCAACTTCTATTGTTATATAATGTTCACATAAATTAATTAGTCTCTCTTGACAATATTCGTCCGCCAAAATCACAACTCCCACCGAGTCGCCGTCTTCTATATGGGGCATGGTCTGTATAGAGGTATTCTAATGTAATTTTTTTTCTGCAATAGCTGCAACGTTAATTCCCGTACTAACAAACAAAGAAAGACATTTTATCTTTTATATTTTATATCTGTACAAGTAATCATTTGAAGTAGGATTACTAGTAAGTAGATGAAATAGTGTATTATTGATGTGTACATGTACGTCAATGTACGTTTCATTGATGGAACAGCCACTGCTCATTGACAAGAAATCTGTAGAGGTGATATGCTTAGCGGTGTTTACTGTATGATAAACGGCACTGGTTTTCTTAAGAAATGAAGGAGATAACATTCATTTGATGTAAATATAGTAAGCTCCTGTTAGTTACATGTTTCAGATTTCTCCTGAGTTGAGTATCCTTTTATTCACATAAAGTGAGTTGATGATGACGATATAATTATAAAAAATATAATATTAAATATTAAAATATAGTTTCTTGAACAAGTTGAAAGGAGTTTTATTTCTTTAATCTAGTGTTAGGATCGTTTAGATATACAACCCTTAATATAGATCTGTTATATTTTAATTTAGCTCCATAACGCAGAAGAGCTTTCTAACTGGTGTCTACATTTCATATCCTCCAACTACATCGCCTTTGAAAAAAGAAAGGAGTTTCCTCTGTTGACCGGAAGCAACAAAACCCATGTGGAGGAAAATAGATGGCCGCCATTATCCTACTTGGAGGAAATGAAGGAATATGAAAAGGAATATGAAAAAAAGATGGAGGCAAGGCGTGAAAAATGCAGTATCACATGAAAGTCAATGACAAATCTAATATTCATTATCTCAACGTGTATCCCTGCTATATCAGTAGGAAATTACCATCGGCAAACCTTGGCCGATTCTTTACCTTTCCATCTAACTTTGTACGGAGGATTGTCAATTCAGCATGACAAGTGACAAACTGAGAAAATGAATTTCTAAAATTTCTCTGAAATAGAATGTAACAATACGAAATGAGCTCAGCAGACATACAAGGCATATACATGCATATACTTATATAATGGCGCATAGATGAAGTACACACCGAAAGTTTGTACATATGAACATCACGATAAATATTTAAATTATAAATGTCAGGATATAATAATGTATTTTGAGAAGAACTCATATTTTTATTATGTGATTTTTTTCCTGGTGAAAAAAAGGGGGGGGGGGCAATATATCGATTCAATGTATTGCAATGCAGAGGGAGTTCATAAGATACATTTTAAAAAATTAAGGTTCGAATTTTACGCCCCCTTAATCGAAGATTTGGGGGCATATAGTTTTTGTCCTATCCGTCTGTCTGTTTCATATTTCACATGTGCATTCCTTGTGACAAGACCTTTCTTTGGGTACTATCAAATTTGACCTTGACGTTTGACCCACTTGTGCTAAATTTTATCAGACTTTAACCTTGGCCATAACTTTTGAATAGTTGGTGCTAGGGCTTTCAAACTTCACATGTGTATACCTTGTGACAAGACCTTTCTTAGGATACCAATAATTTTGACCTTGGAGTTTGACCTACATTTGAAAAAATTGAACCTTGGTCATAACTTTTGATCAATTGGTGCTAGGGCTTTCATACTTCACATGTGTATTCCTTGTGACAAGACCTTCCTTTGGATACAAACAATTTTGGCCCATTGACCTTGTAGTTTGACCTACTTTAAAAAAAACTTACCCTTGGACATAACATTTGAACATTTGGTTCTAGGGGTTTTATATTTCACGTACATATGTATCACTTGTGACAAGACCCAGTGACAAGACAAGTTCCCTTGGGCACCATTTGACCTTGACCTTGATGTTTTACTTACCTTTGAAAAATTTTAACCTTCGCCATAACTTTTCAACGGTTGGTGTTAGGGCTTTCAAATTTCACAAGTATATTCCTCGAGACAGATCTTTCTTCCGTATCAACTTCTGACCTGGAGTTTGACTTGCATTTGAGAAACTTTAACCTTTGCCATAACCTGCCATATGGGGGCATCAGTGTTTCACAAACACATCTTGTTTTACGATATTTATATTATATGCGCTATGTGCATGGAGTTTGGGTATAAAATTAGTTTTTACATAAACATGCAGCAAATGGCGAACAATTTATGTTACGAATTTCGTAGAGGATTATGCCCGGCGATCGACGATTTATGAATTTAGATTCGGTGTTTCAAGAGGTATATTTTAATAATGAATAGTTTTAGAAATTTAAGAGGCCGAATGTGAAACATTTATCCTTCCATTTTCCACTAAATCGAAAGTGATAAAATAATTACAAAAACAACATGAATAATATTTAATGGTTCCAGCTGAAAAGACTTGCAACAAAATCATCATTGTCTGTAAAGCTCATTATTACAGTTGTATTTTGAAGTAATATGGCTTTAATTCTGTATCTGAAAATCCAACTTAAACTCACAGTTCACTTCCCAAGGATGAAATTCTTGAAAATTACGAATCAGTGTTTACTTTTTTCTAACATCCAGTGAACGAAAAAAATCGATTTACCCATCTGTACATGTATATGGGGTTCATAAACTTCATTAAAAAATACATTGCAGGGTCTGACAAATGTTCTACTAAACACCAATCTTTACTCCTCACAAAATAACTGACCGAGAAATTTCAGACTTTCTATGCTATAACATGCTGAAGAAGTGGTGGATTCCCCAAAATCAAAAAAAACTTTTGGAAAAATCACAAAACTTTTCCAAAGTCAGTAACATCAATATGTGACTCTTCAAGACCTTATACAACCAAATTAAAGAAAATCCCTTAATATATATATATGTATATATAATAGACAACTGCTTCTTAAATAAAAATGAAACTCGGAATTTTTTATCTTTTGTAATTGGTCATCTATTTTACTTGGTTAAAAATCATTTCGATTCTACACTCAGGTACTCTAAGGTAAAAAGATTCTGGCGTTCCGCATTGATAATATCTAATCATTGGGGACCAGGTCTTCCAACAAGATGGACACTGGCCGACCTGTTTTCATATTCTATAAAGCAGAATTCATACAAAAACTTCATGAGAGGAAGAACACCATCCAATTTGACATTCACACATATTCCACATTGACCCATCGTCTGGCACACTCTTCGACATGCAGAATTCATATTTATGAAATTTTGATGCTAGTTGAAAGATCGTGGTCATTCAGGCAGCTCTGGTCAATACATGCATTTGGCATAGAAGTACTTGGAAAGAAGTATTCCACAAAAAACGTTGGCACCCTGAGCATTACATAGCCCCCCCCCCCCACTTTATTGAGGTGAGCTAAAAACATTTGAATAGCTGCCAATTAAACCTTAAGTATTTGAATATTGGACCTTATTGTATTGTTATGCAATTCTGATGACAAGGTTTAAATATCTAGCAGTAAATGAGCCTGCCTTTATTACAGCAACAAGTAGAGAGCATGACATCCCCTTATTTCCAATTGACAGCCTTCTTTTGCCCTTGAGATTTATAAACATGACAACTCTCTGTGCGGTTTTCTTTTGACCTCTAGAGATTTATAAACATGACAACTCTGTGTGGTTTTCTTTTGACCTGGAGATTTACGAACATGACAACTCCCTGTGTGGATTTCTTTTGACGTGGAGATTTATAAAGATGACAACTCTCTCTGTGGTTTTCTTTTGACCTCTAGAGATTTATAAACATGACAACTCTCTGTGTGGTTTTGTTTTCTTTTGACCTTAAAATTTATAAACATGACAACTCTCTGTGTTGTTTTTTTTTACCTAGAGATTTACAAACATCTCTCTGTGTGGTTTTCTTTTGACCTAGAGATTTATAAACATGACAACTCTGTATGGTATTTTTTACCTAGAGATTTATAAACATGACAACTCTCTGCGTGGTTTTCTTTTGACCTAGAGATTTATAAACATGACAACTCTCTGTGTGATTTCTTTTGACCTTGAGATTTATAAACATGACAACTCTCTCTGTGGTTTTCTTTTGACCTAGATATTTATAAACATGACAACTCTCTGCTTGATTTTCTTTTGACCTAGATATTTATAAACATGACAACTCTCTGTGTGGTTTTTATTTGACCTAGAGATTTATAAACATGACAACTGTCTGTGTGGTTTTCTTTGACCTAGAGATTTGTAAACATGACAACTCTATGTGGTGGTGTTTTTGTTTTTTTTTTGTTTTTTTTTTTTTTGGACCTTGAGATTTATAAACATGACAACTCTCTGTGTGGTTTTTTTAACCTAGAGATTTATAAACATGACAACTCTCTGTGTTGTTTTTTTTTACCTTGAGATTTATAAACATAATTCTCTGGTTTTCTTTTGACCTCTAGAGATTTACAAACATGACAACTCTATGTGGGTTTTTTTTTTGGACCTTGAGATTTATAAACATGACAACTCTCTGTGTGGTTTTCTTTTGACCTTGAGACTTATAAACATGAGAACTCTCTGTTTGTTTTTTTTACCTAGAGATTTATAAACATAACAACTCTCTGTGTGGTTTTCTTTTGACCTTGAGATTTATAAGCATGACAACTCTCTCTGTGGTTTTCTTTTTACCTAGAGATTTATAAACATGACATCTCTCTGTGTGGGTTTTTTTTTTGACCTAGAGATTTATAAACATGACAACTGTCTGTGTGGTTTTCTTTTGACCTTGAGATTTATAAGCATGACAACTCTCTCTTTGGTTTTCTTTTGACCTAGAGATTTATAAACATGACAACTCCCTGTGCTTTTTTTTGACCTACAAATTTATAAACCTGACTACTCTCTGTGTGTTTTCTTTTGACCTAGAGATTTATAAACATGACAACTCTCTGTGTGGTTTTCTTTTGACCTAGAGATTTTCAAACATGACAACTGTCTGTGTGGTTTTCTTTGACCTAGAGATTTATAAACATAACAACTCTCTGTGTGGTTTTCTTTTGACCTCTAGAGATTTATAAACATGACAACTCTATGTTTGGTTTTCTTTTGACCTTGAGATTTAAAAAACATAACAATTCTCTGTTTGGTTTTCTTTTGACCTCTAGAGATTTATAAACATGACAACTCTCTGTGTCGTTTTCTTTTGACCAAGAGTTATATAAACACGTCAACTCTCTGTGTGGTGGGGGTTTTTTTACCTTGAGATTCATGAACATGACAACTCTCTGTGTAGTTTTCTTTTGACTTTGAGATTTATGAACATGACAACTCTCTGTGTGTGTGCGGTTTTTTGACCTAGAGATTTATAGACATGACAACTCTCTTTGTGGTTTTCTTTTGACCTAGAGATTTATAAACATGACAACTCTATGTGTTTTTTTTTACCTAGAGATTTATAAACATGACAACTCTCTGTGTGGTTTTCTTTTGACCTAGAGATTTATAAACATGACAACTCTCTGTGTGGTTTTCTTTTGACCTAGAGATTTATAAACATGACAACTCTCAATGTGTTTTTTTTTTTACTTTGAGATTTATAAACATGACAACTCTATGTGGGTTTTTTGGACCTTGAGATTTATAAACATGACAACTCTGTGTGGTTTTCTTTTGACCTAGATATTTATAAACATGACAACTCTCTGTGTGGTTTTCTTTTGACCTTGAGATTTATAAACATGAGAACTCTCTGTTTGTTTTTTTTTTTACCTAGAGATTTATAAACATGACAACTCTCTCTGTGGTTTTCTTTTGACCTCTAAAGATTTGTAAACATGACAACTCTATGTGATGGTGTTTTTGTTTGTTTGTTTGTTTTTTTTTGGACTTTGAGATTTATAAACATGACAACTCTATGTGTGGTTTTTATACCTAGAGATTTATAAACATGACAACTCTCAATGTGGGTTTTTTTTACCTTGAGATTTATAAACATAACAATTCTCTGTTTGGTTTTCTTTTGACCTCTAGAGATTTATAAACATGACAACTCTCTGTGTCGTTTTCTTTTGACTAAGAGTTATATAAACACGTCAACTCTTTTGTGTGGTGTTTTTTTTTTACCTTGAGATTCATAAACATGACAACTCTCTGTGTTGTTTTCTTTTGACCTTGAGATTTATGAACATGACAACTCTCTGTGTGTGTGCATTTTTTTTACCTAGAGATTTATAGACATGACAACTCTCTGTGTGGCTTTCTTTTGACCTAGAGATTTATAAACATGACAACTCTATGTTTTTTTTTTACCTAGAGGTTTATAAACATGACAACTCTCTGTGTGGTTTTCTTTTGACCTAGAGATTTATAAACATGACAACTCTCTGTGTGGTTTTCTTTTGACCTAGATATTTATAAACATGACAACTGTCTGTGTGGTTTTCTTTAACCTAGATATTTATAAACATGACAACTCTCTGTGTTGTTTTTTTTATCTCAAGATTTATAAACATGACAACTCTCTCTGTGGGTTTTTTTTTTGACCTTGAGATTTATAAACATGACAACTCTCTGTGTGGTTTTTTTTCTTTTATTCTGTTCATTTTATGCAATAGAACTGGCGTTTGATGCGATACGGGGCCACAAGTCTGCACATTCTTTAGCTACAGGTCCAGTAATGGCTGACCCTAAAATAAGAAAGAACAAGGATCAAAATATGAGAATGTTTTACAATAAATAGGAAGGTTATGACCCAGTATACAATCTCATACTTACAAACCTACCACTGTGTTACCATTGTAGTTCACTGGGAGGAGGGGAGCAATTTTTGTGAATTGCTTAACATTTATGTTTGTGGGGACCTAATTTTGCTGAATTTTCACAAATTCTTAATTATCTCCCCTTCAAATAGGATGTGGCATTTCCTGTGAACAAACTTAAATCCCCTTTACCCAGGGGTACTCTGTGGCGTGTTTGGTTGAAACAGAAAATGTGAAAAGTGTACAGACAGAAGGACAGATAGACAGATGGATGATGGACAAAATACAATCAGAAAAGCTCAATTGAGCTTTCATCAGGTGAGCTAAACATCCACATAAATGTAAAGATTTGTCAGTGGTCCTTGACTTTCAGTACAAGTGTTTAAAATTTACTCAAGTGTTTTGTTAGTAAGGGAATGAACTTGCAGTTGTTGCAGAAAAAACACACAACTCATATATAAAACAAGCATTCTGAGAGTATTGCATTAGCAATACTAGTCCCCTATCGGCAAGTGTAATCTGGTTCCGTTCCCGTTAAGAATTGAAAATGCCATAATTCCGTCAAAAATTAATGAAGCGGGACGAAATGCAAACTTGATCTATGACTAATCAAGGTAAAGCCACATACCAAAAATCAGCTCAATATCTACAAGCGTTTAGAAGAAAATTGCGGAAAACCCCTAAAAATTGAAAAGGCCGTAATTCCATCAAAAATCAATGAAGCGGAACGAAATGCAAACTTGATCTGTAACTCATCAAGATACACTCACATACCAAAAATCAGCTCAATATCTGCAAGCGTTTAGGAAAAAAGTGCAGAAAACCAAGTGGGACAGACTGACAGACAGACAGAGGGACAGACAGACAGACAGACAGACGGACAGACAGACAGACAGACAGACGGACGGACGGACAGACTCAGAGGAAACCTATAGTCCCCTCCGGTTTCACCGGTAGGGGACTAATAAGTTTAAGTATGTTAAATATTGTATTACTGATAAGTGCATTGTATGTTCCATTGATTGAAAAGCTCACTGTATAAGAAATCTGTACAGGTGGCTTGAAAAAATCGGCTATAACCAACGTTTACTGATGAAAGAAGTGTTTTTTTTGGCAAGAAATAAAAATTTTCACTTAGATGTACGCAAGTGAATATAGCTTCTTGACTGTATACCAACATGCTTATGTTAATTAACAAGCATTCTGAGAGTATTGCATTAGCAATACTAGTCCCCTACCGGCAAGTGTAAAATGGTTCCCGTTAAAAATTGAAAATGCCATAATTCCGTCAAAAATCAATGAAGCGGAATGAAATGCAAACTTGATCTATAACACATCAAGGTAAAGCCACATCCCAAAAATCAGCTCAATATCTGCAAGTGTTTAGAAAAAAAGTGCGGAAAAACCCCGAAAAATTGAGAATGTCGTAATTCCGTCAAAAATCATTGAAGCGGAACGAAATGCAAACTTGATCTGTAACTCATCAAGATACACTCACATACCAAAAATCAGCTCAATATCTGCAAGCGTTTAGAAGAAAAGTGGGACAGACTGACAGACAGACAGAGGGACAGACAGACAGACGGACAGACAGACGGACGGACAGACTCAGAGGAAACCTATAGTCCCCTCCGGTTTCACCGGTAGGGGACTAAAAAAATTCATTTGAAGGATATCTTTTGATGTTGTCTCTTTAAAAGCTTTTGATATTCTCTCTTTAAAAGCTATTGGTCTAGCTAAGCATTGGGTGGAGATATGAATACAAAATTTATTATAAGGCCTAAAAAAATTAATAACTTGGTTCTCAGGCCTGCCCACATCTCATTCAACAATGCACATTACCCATTTTTATCCTCAAATGAATAAAATAAAATTTGTTTCATGCGCTCGGAATTCCTAACTGCATTTTGACTGCATTTAAGAAATCAGTAAAACGTTTGACAATCATCAAGATGATCCATACTTTTGGCCTAGTTAAAAATCACAAATATGGCCATCAAGTAAACAGAATAAAGCACCAAGATTAAGTTTAGTCATGATGGCATTGATTTCAGTGCAAATTCATGAGGGAATGTACTCCCACAGTACAAAGTGGGGGTTTCGGAAGGTTTTCCATGCTAGAACTTGATCAATAACTCTATCAAAGACGGCTCCCTCAAACTCAGAACTCAGACATCAGCAAGAGTTGCAGATTTTATTTAGTGTGGGTAAACCAAAGACTGATAAATCTGACAATGTTTAATAAAATCATAAGTGCTGTTTATAGTGCTGAAACACTTAGACTAGTTGTGTTACTTAAGCAATTGACCAGATGCATCACTAAAAGTATTGGGTTCTGTAAGTTTAACATGTCTGGTTTTTAGGATGCCATCGTTTCATTGCACGAATCATTGGAATGTAGAAGATGCAAGAGAAAAGAGAAAGAAGCAGGAAATAAATTATTTTGATTTCTACACTCGATGTTGAAGCTCTTGCTAGTTTTAAAATTATATTTAAAAAAAAAAAATTCCCACGTCTGTTTTTTATGAGATAAAAAGGGAAAAAAATGCCTCCCTCCCGCATTTATTTTTGAGAAAACTGGCCTGAGAACCAAGTTATTAATTTTTTTTGGCCTAACATAATCATTTTTTAAACAACATCCTGTAGAAGAAAGTCAAATGATGGAGGGAGATACAAACCTTTCATCTCTCCTTTATTGTTGACTATGACCCCTGCGTTATCTTCAAAGTATATAAATACCCCATTCTTCCTCCGGACTGGTTTTCTCTGTCGGATGACCACAGCAGGCATTACTGAAAGGAGAAAAAGCATTCATATTCAGTTATTAGGCAACTCAGGGCAGGTAATATGTCTTCAGTAAAAGTTTACAACAAGAAAGACATAATCCATTAGGGCTAAATGATTAATCGTGGTTCACTTGCATCATGACACTTAGCATTTGATTCAATTTTCAAATCAACATCTTCAAATCACAAATTGGTTCAATCTTCAATTTTTTTTTCAGAAATAAAACATTCAATGTCTTGGTTGTTTCTTCACAATATATATACAAGCAAAAATGGTGGACACCAGTGGTCAAAACTGGGGAATATGGATTAACCCCCCCCACCCCCCAAAAGAAAACCTTTGCATGTGTATGTTTGGTATACTGAATAAGCTTACAACAGATTTTTACACACATCTTGACCTGGTTTCTAATCACATAACTTTGAGTCATGTTAAATCCAGCAAAACATCTGCAGTTTTTTTCTACTAAATCATACAATACCCAGTTCAGGGTATAGGTTATCTGATGATCGGCAATACTTTCTTACTATACCTGGGTTTTAATGAGAAAAGCTTACCCTTTTTCCTAAGTTCAGGTTTTCCTTTTTTGACTGTAGCAACAAACATGTCTCCAGCTCCTGCAGCTGGCATTCGGTTCAATCGTCCCTTGATGCCGCTGACAGCAATAACAAACAGATTCTTGGCACCTACAATTGTAACCAGAGTGATAATGTTCTGAAGCTTGACTCAGTATTTATAAAATATCAATCATAGACATAAAAATCAGATTTTGTTGTGTTTTCTTTCATGTTCATCAGGTTTCCTTTTTAATTTTTTTTTCTTTTTGTTTTTGCTACACATTTCAGAATAACTACTAAAATGGCTGATTCGGCTTATGACAAAACAAGTGGTGATTTTTTTTAATTCAGCATATCAACACATGCTTAATGCACAATGTATAACAATGTGTTCACACAAACTGAGAGTTTGAATCATAAAGGTTATAAAATTGAACTAGGTAAACAAATATATGTCAATATATAGACTGTCTAACTTCTACTTCATTTTCAATGATAGCAAATAGATTTTCAATTGTTTTGATGGAAAATATATCATTTAACAAAACGCTGCATTTGACATGCTCAAGCCATTTTTGTTCGACTGGATATACAACTTGAAAGATGAAAACAGTATGTCACAATTTTTAATTCGCGCAATAATTATTTCCAATTCTACTACGATTATTGCTGAGATCAAAGAAATGCAGCAGACATTATTCTCCAATAAATCACAAACATCATCAAAAAATTATCAGATCAGAAACACGTATGAAACCTGTACATTTGAAATGAATATTAGACTTTAGAATGAAATACTTATTGAGACAGAGACCATATTGCATTAAGTAGCTGATGAATGTCGGTTTTTATAGCTAAGCAGGGCTGTTCCATGGACCTACCTACACCATTTCAACTCCGCAATTTTACTTATAAAGCAGTGAAACAGAAAACTGATTTTGTTATTGTACATTCATAAACATTAAATAATATATGATACAAACAAATTTATAATTAATTAAAGGCCATTTTTAATCCAACGAAAGATCAAATCATCTGCATTCCATACACAGGTAAACAAACAAATTGACCCTTTGGTGTTAAATGGAATAGCGAAATTGCGACATGGTGACTCCAGGGTTCGACACTAACGTTAGTCCGTTAGCCTCAGACTAATACATTTTTATTTGGAATAATAAAATCTGTGGCCAGTTAGTCCCAACGGACCAATAAAATTTTCTGGAAAACAAAATGAATAAATTACCGATGTTCAATTCTCGACAACTTAAACTGGAAAACCCTGTGTTTTTTTTAGTTTTCTAGCTTCTTGGCGGGTAATTAGGTAAATCAGAGTCAATTCAGCGCTTAATTTTACGACGTATTATGAAGTTAACATTTTAGTGATCATGATTTCATATGATGTCAGACATTCTGGTTGTAATGTACAGAGAAAAAAGAACGAGATTGGGAGTACGATAGTCTTTCCTGATCAAAAGATTGCAACAAATCTGTGGAATAAAACACTTCACGTAAATGTTTTGTACATTTCAAAAAAATAAAAAAGGTATATTGTATTATTTACTTTAATCGATGCTACAAAACATTGATTTTCCTTTTCTTTTTTTTTTTGACGGACTCCTAAAATTGCGCACGGACTAGTAAAAGTAAAGAAGCACTAGTCCAGCTGAACTGAAGCCTAAAAATGTTAGTGTCGAACCCTGGGTGACCTAATTTGTTTTTCTATAGAGGAAACCATCAGCCGTATTTTAGAGCTGTAGTAGAATAGAAATAAAGTCCTTGTTGTCGTGAATGATGCAGGATAACCTCCTCAGTCTCGAAATGTTGTCTGAAATACAAAAACCTCGGCTAACACCTTGGCTTTTATATTTCAGACAACATTTCGAGACTGAGGAGGTTTTAGTGCAACATTCACGATATTTCTTAAACAGAAGGAGATCAGGCAGCATGGTAATTTGTCTATTTAAGTCCTCTCCCTGTGACACCATTTTTGAGAGTTGTATAGTTAATTTTGTCCACTGCCATCATGGAGTGGTTCTTTCAATATTCCCAGAGAGGAACCAAGGTGTCACATCCAAATCAATTCTGAACATATGCTTCATTATTACATTGATGACAACAAGCAAGTTATGAAGCAAGAGAAAATTATGAATAATGACAGATGCGCTTTCAGATTTTGTTGTAGTGTTAATCCCTTAAAGATTTAGAATTTGCTGCCACTGGTAACTCAATACACTAGTTGAAAATGAGGAATTACTTCACAGCAGAAATTTTGGGGAAAAATATATTTCATTGATCAAACCCAATTGAAGGTCAGGTGTATATTTTGGGATATCATGCTGGAAGTAATGACGTAGTAAATTATAATAACTGATTATGCTACAATTCTTTTAGATACAAACCTGTGTTGTCAGCGCAGTTGATGACAGCGCCTACAGGTAAAGCTAGGGAGATACGGAATTTCCCTCCGGCCGAACCACCACGACCTGAAACAGCATAAATAGTCACTACAATGGATGTTCATGCAATCAGAATTCAATGAATACAGAACATAGAACATACTCATTTTACAATATAGTGGAGTGAGATCAAACAACAAATACATATTTTCACCTCATTTAGATACTATAAATCCTGAGAACAACAAACGCATGCTTAGATTAACAAGGCAACGGCAATGTAGTGCATTTTTAAAGTTAGTACACTAGTCAAGATTACTGCTACAAGTTACGACCCTCCTTCCCCTCAATCTTGGGTCATTTTACAACACCATAACCACCAAAAAATACAGTGGTTAGAGAATTGCCAGTTATAAAAGGGGGATCTGTCTTAGAACCACTTTCACAGTGAACTATCAAGACGAAGGAAAGAGAGCAGCATATAATTATACATCTGCATTGAACTCCAACATGTCCAAGATTGCCTAATGTTTACATTCGTCGATCGATTTGTATATATTGAACTTCTCATTTAATTTGAGGTATCTATATTATTTGTATGTAGGGAAAGAAAATAAAACTTTTGTTCTGCATTTCATATGTGTTATATTGTAATTTTAACTTTATGTTTGTCGATGACGATGGATATAGTTTGACATAGGTGAGTTCTCATACCTCTCTTAGACATATTGTATTAGTAAAAGGAAGTTACTATTGAGCATGCGTGTTCAACATCTCGAGCCCGAAGCAAATACGACACGTCCCTCAATAATATATAATTTTTTCCCAATAATTTGTCATTGAAGTATTTCTACTTTCACAAGTTTCCTCAAAAAAATTGAGATACCTTACCAGGGGTTTGTGGAAGGTAACGAAGGATGGTGTTTACATCAGAATTTTTTAATCTCTATTTTTTAAAGATATTTTAAGAACAGTTTTGAAATAGCAATAAAACAATAATTATAAATATTTAAGGTGATTTGCAAAGAGAAACAAAAGCAGATATTTGAGAAACATGTCGTCTGACCTTAAAATGCAAAATACGTGCCATATTTCTTATACATGTAAATGTTTGATTTTTCATATATAAAGGTTAGATTATGTCGATGAACATATTTAATTCCTAGTGGTAATATAGATTGGAAACAAATGATATTTTACATGTAAGTGTTTCGGTTATGAACATTCCAAGATTGGTATAATTCTCCATCTATTGGCGCTTGGTTTCAGGAGGAGGGCGTATTTTATGAATAATGTATTTTTCTAGGTGTATCTGAACGATACACTCATTAAAATAAAAATAAAAAATCGCGGAAATTTGCACGTTTTAAAAATATCATATTAAGGTATATAAAAAGAGTGAATTATTGTGGATTTACATATATGGTTCCTAGGACTTTTTTCACTTTTACGTCACTTTTTTTCGGGAATTTAATCAAGTCAAACATTGGGGATTTACATATACATAAAACAGTGTAAAACATTGAGAAATGAAATCGCTTTGTGTAAAATATGCGATAAAAAAATCTCCTATGGTCTGTCGTTAGATAAGATTTTCATCCAGCTCGTGACAATGACATATGACAATGAATTTATTCTAATAAACTGACTTTAAGTACAGAGTAGAGACAGATTACAAATATAGGTAAACATACGTGCATGCGTAAAACAGAAAAAGTACAAAGTCAAAAAACTATAACAATGAGGTAACCAGGAGAGCCAACTTTCTCAAAGATCATTTTTATAAATTTACACAGTTTTATCAAATTACCTGTACTTTTTTGTATTAAAAAGTTTATCAAACTTAAACACATTTGGATATAAATATTAATACTTTGGTATCAATGATAATCTTGTTGACAAATGTGTTTTCATTCCATCGATAAAGCTTGGGGATAAAAACACAAAGGATGACATGCGAAATTTGCGACAAAATAAACTTTCAAAACAAGCATTTTTCTTTTCATTGCAAGAAATGGTCAACATCCAATCTACAACTTTATGCAATTACGTTTTAATAAAATTGTGTATTTACGAAGTTTGAATTTGTTTTCAAAGGCAGGGGTCTTCACAATTTCTTGAATCTCCGTTCGATAATGAGGACGCCCACTTTTTTACTGACTTTATACATAGTCAGCGCATGTTTGTCTATTGTTCTACGTTTAACAGTAGTTGTATATTTGCATAAATAACAAGCATTCTGAGAGTATTGCATTAGCAATACTAGTCCCCTACCGGCAAGTGTAATCTGGTTCCGTTCCCGTTTAAAATTGAAAATGCCATAATTCCGTCAAAAATTAATGAAGCGGGACGAAATGCAAACTTGATCTTTAACTAATCAAGGTAAAGCCACATACCAAAAATCAGCTGAATATCTACAAGCGTTTAGAAGAAAATTGCGGAAAACCAAGTGGGACAGACTGACAGACAGACAGAGGGACAGACGGACAGAGGGACAGACAGACAGACGGACGGACGGACAGACGGACGGACAGACTCAGAGGAAACCTATAGTCCCCTCCGGTTTCACCGGTAGGGGACTAATAATGTGTCAAAAGGAGATTAATAGACAACATGCGCTCATGGTTAAAAAGAGAAAAAAACTGCTTCTTCTTACATTCGCTCCCTGTGTTGTAACCAAGGATTGTGAGATGTTCAATATTATAATACAACACGCGATTTCTTACCTCAGGTAACTTTGTGAATACTATATTCCGTCACGTGACTTGTAAGGTAGCATGCTTTGTGCTAATTAGGACATTGTGTTCGAACTCGTTAAGTCATCTGGCATTGATATAAAATCTGTTTTAATTACATTGACGTGCTCATATTGTTAATTTCGTTTTGAAACCTTTGTCAGAAGTGTATTTGTGCCATACAGAATGGAGAGGGAGATTGGAAAGAGTGATCACGTTCTTTTTTTCAAACATGTCATTGTTATTTATCAAGTCTAATTTTAGACCCATTCTTACAATTCTCATGCATATCTAATGTTCAATCAAGGGCAGATAAGTGTAAATTCACTGTATTTGGAAAACAGTAAGGACAAAAAACATTGAATCATTTTATTGTATCACAGTCTAAAATCATTTTAAGATTTAAATTTGGTTCCAAATTGACAGGATTCTTTCATAAACATACAAAAAGGAAATTAATAAGGTTAAGATATAAAAGCAACAGAAGCAACCGAAAAAGACCCAAAAACAGGCGTTAAGTGCAGACATCCTTTACATCCAACCACAAACCATGAGAGATCCTATATATGTATGTACACATCAAACAAAAGTAAAACGTACACGGCTGTTTATATATACGGTACTCAAATACGATTTTTGTGGATGAATCTCGTCTCTGTTTTTTGTCATGCGCGGATTTAGAGGGGGGGGGGGGTCGGGGGGGTCAAGACCCCCCCCCCCCGGAATTTGCAGAGTTATAAAAAGTATATACTGATTACTGAAGCAAATAAAAATGACTTTGCCCCCCCCCCCCAAGAAAACGTGGAGCCCACCACCACAACCTCGAATTTTTTGGTTGTCATAAAATTCCTGGATCCGCGCCTGTTTGTGCTATACAAGAAAATGATTGATATTTTTTCTTTGTTCGTTAAAAAGAAATACATAATTCGAAACATAAAAAACTTTTTGACTGAATACTGATAATGAAAACATGTAGCACCTATACTTCTTTGGATACACCTATATATATATATATATATATATATATATATATATATATATATATATATATATATATATATATATATATATATATATATATATATATATATATATATATATATATATATATATTCATACAATTTAATTTATTTCAATTATTTATTTTTTCTACAATAAAACATGCCTGTTTTTTTCCCCAATTTCAATTTATGGCAACACCATCATACATTAGCATATAGCCGTGAATACAATAAATATATCGCAATATTGTAACCTACATTGATCATAACTAGGAAAGTAAAGTACAGAATGACATACGCGTTTTTCTCTAGGAATAGGTGGCCTTGAGTATCTCCCCATTTCAATATGTAGTGAATGAGCACAAATTCTAAGTTTTGTTAGGATTGTTTTTAAAATTCTTATTAATTCTTATTAATTTTCAATTAATAGGGGAAGACTACTATAGTTTGTAATTCATCTACTTTTAAATTTTGTGTATTTATTATTTTTATTTTATTTATTTATTATCTTTTTTTTTTATTTTTTTTTATTTTATTTATTTATTTTTGTTTTACTTTTTTTGTCTTTTGATATCGTCCATGATATCATTGTTATCTTTCTTGGCGAAAATACAGAGGAGCATTCGCGTTCATAGCAAATCATGAAATCAAGGGACACCATGGAATTGTTGTGAATTATACTGCAGATTTTCAGAAAACTGAAGTATAAGAAGTACAATCAAAGAAACTGCATCCATAGCATTTGTAATTTGAGGAGAGACAAAGTTAACATATGTCCCGAATAAACGAAGTGACAGTGATTAAGTTCCATAGTCCTGAGTATTCTGACATCACTTCCGCATTTGAAAAGCCTCAAGTATCACACAAAAATATACCTATTTGGAAGTTGGAAGTAGAGCAGTGTGTTTTTATTCTAATCGAGAGTTTTAATTAATGTGATTTATTGGACTAACAGTAACAATGAGTAAGAAGTGCGCAAAGTGCGAGAAGACGGTTTACCCGACAGAGGAGCTCAAATGCTTAGACAAGGTCGGTGGTTTGAATTTTGATGGCTTCTGTGGGTGGCCTAGCGGGGTCCCCTTCCCTTGTTTTGATATTTATTGCCCCCGTTTTTTTCTTGCTAGGTAAGGTGGAAAGTCATATTTAATTAATTATTTTTGTATATGAAATGTGTCATGAAATATTAGCCTTCTACAATTCTGAAATACAGCTACTGTTGAAAAATGGGCGGGACCTTTTCACAACTTCTTGTTTTGGTTGATTGTAGCATGTATTCTGATAGGAAATATATAAGTTAATGTTTTCTGTATGTTCTATTTGAGTCTCGACAAATTTATCAGGAGGCAATATGAAAAACCTCATGTATTTGTCAATCAGGATATGTATATATACATATATTATTACTATATTTGGCATGCTTGGAGAAGATTCAGATAAATTTAACCTGGCATCAACATGAACGGGGATGTCATGCATTTAACTTTTAAATGGTTTTATAAGTATGATATAGGACGTAGTGTTTATCTTATCCTTGTTTATTTCATTCGTTGTATTAATTAAGATACAGCTGTTTTTAATGATTGTGCCTGTTGAATAATACTTTCTTCTGGTGTGACTCCTATGTGTGACTTTAATTTCCATGAATTTTTAAATATAAGGAAAGGCATATTTCAAGTGTATTCTTTGAAAAAATTTATATATAACAGTAGAGAATATGAGCATGATGAGATATGTGTAACTCAACATTTGTGTTTTATTAATCTGGTCACTACAGCTCTAGATAAATGAAATATGTGTGACTGTTTTTCTTGGTATAAAAAAATTTTCATAGTTGATGATATTACTAAAATAACCCTATGACTTTAGAATCTGTGAAACCACAAAAACTTCTTGAAGAAAAAAAAAATATCTCCCCAATGTATAATTGCACAAATGTAACAATATAAGTGAGCAAACACTTAGTATATAGTACAGTCTACATGAAGAGTACTCCACTGTGGATTATGTAAGACTTTAGTATTACCATCATTACTGTCTCGATAGGCTATACAAGGGAAGTGTACACTCCACTGTATACAATTTCTAGAAATCTACCACTCGTAAATATTAACAAGAAAACAAAACTTATTCCACTGCCTTTTTATTTTCTTTTTCTTCATTTCTTCTTGTGACATTCACATTGCTTTTTTTTTGTCCCATTTGAACAATGCAAGTGTTGATAACTCCACTAAATGAAAGAAGCCTATCATTTTGAAGTACTTGTAATTGTCAAATTTTATTTTGTGTAAGTACCATAAGTAAATCCTTGGAGGTTCTTTGTCAAATTTTAAAAATATCAAGTTATCAACTATATATAGAAACAGCATGTGTTCAGAAAAAGATGTTAATTGTCTAATGCTTATGTTTTCACACCTAAAATTGGTCAAACATGCCAGAATGATTAACCTGTACATGTTAACAGTCTGTTCATAATTAATGACATGCCTGTGATCGTATTTTAATGACCTACATTTTGCTGAAGATGTTACAAATGTCAGTGATTTCTTTAATCTGAGTATTGATTACCCACCAACTGGCCAACAGCAGTGATAAAATACTGATTGACAACTGAACTGTGTCGATAAAATGCTTGACTGAACATGGACTCATTGGAGTTTACCAGATTTTGACAGATTTTTGATAAGCCAAGTCAATGACTGAATGGTCAACAATGCGTTGGTCACATATGCTATGGACAGACCTTTTGTTTTGGAATGTTTACAAAGAAAAGGAATGCAAACATTTTGATCAGTAATTATAAGTAGAGGAAATAGCAGATCACCCCTCCTTTCCCAGCCTGTATTAACACAAATGTTTAATATTTACACAGTTCATCAAAGCCCAGTTTATCTTTAGTTATCTACCCAGTAGATAAAAAAAGACAGATCTCTGACATACTGTCATCACAAGGCGTTAAAACGTTTACAGAATACAGAGTCTTTAAATTTCCATTGTAACACATACAATACTCCTGTTGAATGGAGTAACTTCAGTACATGTTATCTATGAGGTTCACATGCAGTTTCCTAAGTCAAGTGCCAACATTATTATTTTTGATTTCATGAGGTTAATTTACTTAATTAATGGACCAGTAAAGATTTAAAATGAAATGTATAACTTTTATTTTCTGTTTGTACTTAAATAAGAATACTCAGCAAAGCATGTCTGTGTCTGATTAAAGTGGACCTGTATATAAGACAGGCAGGACAGGTATTATCTTTGAGCTCACTGCAGCTCAGGTGAAACAGATCAGAGCTTGCTTTGAAAGGTCAGGACAGGTGTTTAAATTTAAGTCAGCTGCTGGGATTCTGTGGAATTTAATTGTAGATATTGATTAATTTTTCAGCCCCATTTATATGCATGAGTAGCCTTCATACCTTTTACCTATTATGGTCATAGTGTAACTGTGTAATGATTCATTAAGGCATAACTTAGGGGAAATGTCAAAACTTGATAGAATTTTTGCCAAAAAAGTAACATTCACACATGAAGTTCATCTTGGATATCCCCCTTTACTTCATCCTTTTTTTGTAAGGACAGTAAATTGTTACATATGTCTGAAGAAAATACAGTTTTAGTTTTTTAAGTGTAAAACAGAGCTGTAGGTTTTTGTAAATCTACAAATTAAATGCGCAGTGCTTGAAGTAGTAGTAAACTAGGTGAAGGACTTGCATAAGATGATGTACAGTATACGTGTATGAGGCGCATTTCTTACTAGGTACTTCACAAAACAGGAAGGGAAAACTATAGCAGTGTTAGAATATATGTAAGATCATAAGTACCTCAAACCAGGGGGAATCTAAAAATTACAGACAGCAGTTAGAAAATCTTGGATGTTGGCCATTGTGAAACAGTCATGAAACAACAATGTGTTATTTGAAATTTTCTGTTGTTTTTTTTAATGACAAATAACTTATCCTCTTAAGAAATAAAATACATGTAATTACAATCTCTTTATATCAGGGTGAATTTTTATAATTTTAATATATTACTTGGGTGAGCTTTAGAATGTTTACTTTCTCAAGACCATATTGCCAATGACATCAATTTTCCAGTTTTTTCAAAGTTCTTAAATTTTTTTAAGTTTGTTTCATATTTGTTCATTTTTAGAAGAGTTGAAGTATGGATCACTGGATGCGAGAAATTGTGTAGGTCCCCAGCAGGCAGCAGTATAAATGTCTCAATGTGTATATGTACAGTGTTTGTGATTCATGGTACGGCACTGTATTGATAACACTGACTCCTATAGGATAAATTGAACTTGGTTTTAACTGTATTATGATATCTTAATGAATGTTTATCATATTTCCTACCTGCACAATGTAGAGATTAGATAATAAAAAAGAAACTGTTTCTTAAGTCAGAAGTTCTACCATTGAACTCTCAGCTGGAGAGACTGCTAGTGTGTTTTCCTGGAATCTGGAGAAATTCCATAACTTATCTCCTTCTTGTATCAATGTACATCATGTATCTCTTATTGTTTTCCTGTCTGGAGTAGTTCCCTAACTTAACACAGGAAAACGTAACACAATAAGTATAGTGGGGTCAACAAGAGATATTTTAGAGATTTTAAATATTTGTATGTACATTGATTACATTTTGTATCATAAATGTGTACAGTTATTTTATTCATGTTTACATTTTACAGGTGTTGCACACCTTGCGTTATAGTAGTTTTTGCTACATCTGTATCAGCTTGGAAGATATGCCATTATAATTTATTCAACATGTTAAAGTTCTATATTTCTCTGTATAGTATCAGACTAGATATATGTATATGACTAGAATTTGAATTGTTATCCTTTGTCCTTGAAGCCAGCTGAAGCCATGTTTATTTTGGCTCTGTGTGTTGTCTTCCCCAAACTATTCCTAGCTATCACCTATAGCGTACACTTTAGTTTGACTCTAACAACTGTTGACAGACACAGTCCACTGTTAATTCTTATTCTCTGATAATTGCATTATCTTCTCTGAGGATTGAGATTTTAGATTCCTGAGTTTTTGAGTCATTGTGTTTGGTAAATGTAAGATTCTCAGCATTCCTTCAGTGTAATTCTTGTCTTCACCAACCCTACAACCGCCAGAGTCTGCACAAATTACAGATGTTTTTTTAAAACTGTCTTCTCTCTCCTGCACGATTGCTACAGTTATCATAAACACACAATGTGAGGGAGGGAGATAATTTATGGCTGTCAGCTTACGGAGATGTATTTTTTTGATTTTTTTGCTCTTGTTTTCCCCCTCATGAAATGGTCAATGGCCTAAGATATTTCAAAGTCTTTTTTTTTATATAATTGATAGTTTTTCTATTTGGTGTATGTCCCAGCTCTCTTGGATATTAAGTTTATCACGTGATTTAATTCTTTCTTTTCAGTTTTGGCACAAAGCATGTTTCAAATGCGATGTTTGCAACATGACCCTGAATATGAAAAATTACAAAGGCTACAACAAGATACCTTACTGCAATGTGTAAGTGTTCACAACAACCAGAAATCTCAGCCGAACACACAGTAATAGGATGTTATCATGAACGTTATACAATGTTACTAGCATAACATACTATAAATACACACGTTCTAATACAGTCATAATCTCTGTCATATTTTGTTATAATCATATGTAACATGATAAAAGGTAGTAATTTTGATTCGTTTACTTGAGTGTATTAACAAACTGCTTGATCCATGATTTGAGTTTTTTAGTATTTATTGGTAATACATTGCTATTTTTTGTAGTCACTACCCCACCACTTCCTTCACCGCTGTAGCAGACACACCAGAAAATCAGAGAATCAAACAGAATACCAAAGTACAGAGTAATGTAAGTATGTCTGAGAGATTAAACAACAGACAAACAAGTATCTTAGAAAACAAAGCTAGACACTCCCAGCTCCACCAAAATCTAGGAAGAGATTAAACTAGAGACAAGAAAGCGAGACACCCCAGGGCTATCTCCAACCAAGAAACATTGAGACTTTTCCCCTTCCATGTCCTATATCAGTAAACATATAGCATTGACATGTAATTCAGAAAGTGAGACCACCCCCACCCCCACAGTCCAGTCTAAAAGTAAGTATATATATCATTGACATGTATATCAGAAGTAGTGAGGCCTTCTATCCCCCACAGTCCAGTCTTAGAGTAAGTATATAGATCATTGACAAGATTCTAAAAAAACAGAACTTTCCACCCCTTAACACCCCCACCCTGAACTTTCCAATCCAATCTGTTAGTAAACATAGCATAAGCATTGACTTGCATCTCAGAAATAATGAGATCCTCCACAATCCTATTTCAGTCACTGAAGAAACATAGGATTGGGTGTGTATCACTTGTCTCTCAGACCCCAGAGAGTAGAGAGTCATCACTGTTTACTTCAACCATTTCCACAGAAAAGACAAAGTCTTCACTCTTGCTACAAAGGCATTATATTTTCCTGATTTATGAAATGCCCTAATTAAAATGTCTGTATTGACTTCCTGTTGAAGTGTAGCCAGGAATAAGTGCAGTCATGATTAGCATTTCATGATTAGGTCAAGGAAAAGATGGTTCTAACACAGATCATTTCAATCTGTTATTTTAATACTTGTAAAGATACAGGGCTGTTTGTACTAGAAAAGAATTTTTAGTGGAATGAAGCCTTCACTATAGAATTAAGGAGAGCCAAATTGTAATGCACATTTTACTCTGTTAAAAAAAAAAAAAGATACCAAAGTCACTGTGTAGATCTCTCAAAGAAAAAAAAATCAAGTGGGTAGATTTAATAGATGGTTGATAAATGATAATTTACTAGACTCAACAATGAAATTACAAAACCATTACAGTAAAAAAAAAAATCTTTAAAAAGGTACTTCACGGTTTATTTCCAATGCAAAAGACCTAAGTGAATGCATAGAGAGTTTCCTCTGCAAGAACATATGGCGTTAAAGATTTTTTTTTTAGCTCACCTCAACAAAGTTGGGGGAGCTTATGTAATACCCTCGGCATCAACATCCCAGATTAAAGTTTTTGGAGCAGATTTCTTTTCAGGTACTTCTAGGCCCTATAAAATCAGAGATGCATGGAGGATGCTTCTAGTGTGTTTCATTGTACCAGTAAAGGTTTCAGATGCTGCAATTTCAGCTAAAGAATGACCAGGTTAATGTTTTTGGAGCATGTTAAAGTTTTTGGAGCAAGTCTCATTTCCAAGTAACTAAAAGCCTTATATTGACCAAACTTGCATGGATGATACACCTAAGGATGCACACTACCAGGCTTGCTTTGTATGCTGAATCTGACTTACATTTTTTTGGAGTGGGTTAATTTCAAATTAACTACTATCCCTATCTATACCAAATATCTAAGGATGCACACCACTGGACTTGCTTCAGATGCTGGATCTGACCTACATTTTCTGGTTGAGTGACTGACCAGGTTAAAGTTTTTGGAGCAGGTTCATTATAAAGTAATTATTTGCACTACCTGGACCAAACTTGCATGGATTATACATCTAAGAATGCACTACTGGACTTGCTTTGGATGCTGAACTTGACCTACGTTTTGGATGAGCAACCAGTTTAAAGTTTTTGGAGCAGGTTCATTCTGAAGTGACTCTATGTCCTATGCTTACCTGGTTTGCACTGATGATACATTTATTGATGCACACTACCAGAGTTGCTTTTTATATGGGATTTGACCTACATTTTCCAGATGAGTGACTAGGTTAAAGTTTTTGGAGCAGGTACCTGACCAAAAAACTATAAGGCCTACCTGAACCAAATTTGCATGGATGATGCATCTAGGGATGCACACTACCAGAGTTGCTTCAGGTACTGGATTTGACCTACCTTTTCCAGATGAATGACCAGGTTAAAGTTTTTGGAGCATACTCATTCCAGTGTAGCTTCAAGCCCTACCTAGACCAAACTTGCATGGATGATGCATTAAGGGATGAACACTCTCAAACTTGCTTCAGGTGCTGGATTTGACTTTCTGGATGAGTGACTAGGTTAAAGTTTTTAGATAAGTCCATTCCCACATAACTGCATGCCCTATCAGACCAAAATTGCATAAAAGTTGCATCTAGGGATGCCAGCTACTGGATTATTAGTTTACTGTGTGACTTTGTCTTACTTAAAGACCTTAAAGACAACATTTGTTAAGGTGAGCTTTGTAATCTCTCATTACTTATGACTTTTTTTGGGGGGGTTGGGGGGGGGGGGGTTGGATGGATGCAATATTGACACAAAAGAAGGAAAACTTTTCAGGTAAACCAGTTTTTGATAGTTATCTTCATCACTACATCATCTGTTTTCATAGGAAACTTTTCCGAGTGATAGAATAGATCTCAGAAGCTGGCAAAGAGCATCAGTATCTGTAGGGGTCTGTTAATAAACACATCCCTCAGTCGGCTGCTTATGATTTCTCTAATCAGATGTAGCTGTTATATTGTTTATTAATTTACCATGCAAAGAATCTTTTTTTTTTTTCATTTCCTTGCATAGGTTTAAAACGTTATCCTTTTGAATTGTAGGGCTTTAAGTTGAATATGACCTTGGATTTGTATTGTGTAGTACATGTATCTTAAGGCCAATTTTCATTTGTTTTAAAGAATAAAAAGATTGTGTGTGTTGAACATGTTGAAGCTCTGAATCAAAAACATTCAACGAGTTCCCCAAAGTATGTGTGATGGTTATAGTATTGGCTCCTGTGGTGAAGGAAACATATAAATATCTGTTTTGTCTGTCTGTCTGTCTGTTTGTACAAACACACATATTTGGTCACCTTGAAGGGAATACACTTTATTTATATACTAGGCATAATTTGTCTGTGTTCGCATCATGCAGAATTTTCTTAACCCTTAAAAGAATTTGTTGGTGTGAGTTATGTACATGGAAATGATACAAAAGTTAATTACCAGCTTTATATAATGTGCTTCGGCAAATTAAAGTCAACAGCTCGAATGCCAATACTTCTATATAAGATTGATTTCTCTAGTTAACCTCTAATTGAATTTGTGTACTTAAGATACACCAAGGAATTTCTCCATTGACTTGTATCTTTTATTAATGTACAAGTTGGTATTCCCAAAACAGGTCCAATATCACAGCGAATTTGAGAAACAGAAAGGAGCGTACACACAAGTAGCCGATACCCCTGACATGTTACGTCACCAGCAGAACACCAAAAATATCAGCCTGGTATATCTATAAATATCGGCACGTGTAGTCAATATTAGTTAACTCCCCTTATGATGCTCCTATATTTAGGAGGTATACCTCGAATGTTGTAGAATTTGTTTGCTGCAAGACCAGTTTGAAGTTTTTGCATTCATGTTCTACAATTAAATTTTGTTGTTTAACTAACATTTTATTGCATGTACAGGTCAATCAAACCTGGCATTTAATGTCCACTGGTTTGACATCTTACAGATTGGACAAAGCTGTTTATACTCAAAAACAGCGGCAAGTCTAAGCCATGTTAACAGTACAATGCTCGGAATATAGTAATGTAATAATGTTTGTAAACCATATGTCATACAGCGACAGTGAAAATATATCTGCATACCAGTGTGTGTAGGAAATTTGGTCATGTGTTTCTTAGTACATTAATATATACATGACACCTTTGTAAAAAGAGGGAAGTTAGTGAATAAGGAAGTATGACAAAAGGCACCTGGCCCTACCTTATATTTCCCCATCAATTTCCTGTCAACAAATTAAAATTCAGAGTATTGTTACCCATGAAGATTTTCAGGAACATTGAAATACCAATCATGGGGTTGAATGTTTATGTCTATGTATATAGATACATATAATTGTGATGTACATGTGTATTTCTTAAAATTCTCTGGTTCACTCATTATAAGTAAATTGATTAGAAATGAACAACACAAATTACGACCTATATAATTTCAAATTATCATTTTAAATCTTAAGAATATTTTTTGATATTTTTTAAAAATAAATTTTAATTTGCATATCATACATTTATAATTAACATTGTAGTTAATAATTGCCAGTTAGTGTTTTACAGTTTGATCAAAAAGAGGCATACAAATGTATTTTGTCCTCAAAGCCAAAGTTTATATGGTTATTCTGAAAATTGGAATTTAAAATGTCAAATTTCATGAGAAGAGGGAGAATCAAGTCATTAATTGAAATGCAGTTAATTGACTAAGACATGTACAGAATCAATATACAGTGGATGAGGAGAAGAGAGTTTACAGCAGGAAATTCTGGTATCCATAGAATTAAAAACATGTTTTAGTGATGTTAAGGTTTAGTTGTCCAGCAAATTTCATCTAGCTGTGCAACAGTGGCACTTTAGTTCGAGGTCTAGGAAAAAATATTCATGGAGTCTCTGTTGACCATCATGCATGTGTCATTCATAATATATATTGATGCATGAGTGAAATTTATTGAACATTTTCATAAAAAAGTAATTTTTCAACATTTTTCAACCAAAATTTCAATTAAGGAATATCATTAAAAAATATGAAGTTATGTATAGTGTCACTTTAAGGAAATGGAATATGGTGACTCCCAGTTAAAAGTTTTTAAAATTTTGCCATGGGTATTGTTGACTCACCTTATTTTCTACTTGAAGAAATATTAGTTCCAAAAAATACTTAATTTTGTGTTGCTTCAAATGAATGATTTATCCTTGAAAAGAAGTTAACATATAAACAAAAAAATGACTGGTTTCTTGTCTGTATTTCCATCATTTTTTATGGATTTTATAAACTTAGTCTAATACAGTTCATGCATGATATTTTCATCTAATCTATTTGAATGTTCAGATGATATCATATACAGATGCATGATGCTTATGTAAAACAAATGTTGACTAATGTAGTTAAAGAATTCAGTAATTCTCAAACTGATATTTAATAAGTGAATGATATTTAGAAATTGCAGTGTTCTTTTAATTTGATACTTAACCACATTTCTTTGGTCAGAGCCTTGAACCGTTATTTAATTGTGGAGATATGTTTTGTTTGAGGTGGTCTGTTTTTTAATGACAGATAGAGTATCATCGAAATTTCGAGGAATCCAAGTCGCAATTCACTTGTGTTACAGATACGCCAGTCATGAAAACACAACTCACCAATACCAAAAATGTCAGCCTGGTAATGTCCAAGAGTGTTTGATCGGCATCTCTCTTAATCCCTTTTTTGTGTCACTTATTTTATTGAATAATCAACAATAATTTCACAGGTTTTATTTTCTTTAAAAAGTGTGTGATATGGAATAACTGATAACGCTATTCCTATTTTGTCATTTTAATCAAACATTTCATATTTTAGTTATTGTGTGTGCAGTTTTTCTTTTGTTTAGATTGAGTACCACAGGGATTTTGAAAAATCCAAATCTAAATATACCCAAGTTGCTGACAGTCCAGAGATTCAAAAATACCTTGAAAACACCAAAAATATTAGTTTGGTATAAAACCAAGCATGGAAACCAAGCCTCCAAATTGATTATTTCCTCTGTTTGTCCATATATGTGTACCACTGTGTACAAGTCATTCTTCTGTGAAAATTTTATTTTTCCTGAAAGCACTTGTGTCCTGGTATTATTGCAGGCAGCCCCAAACATCCCAAGTACATTGTACAAATCTTCCTGTGTTTGTTGCAGCAAAAAAATGCTTTGCTTAGCAATTTGAGAGGAAATAAAAGTTTCTCCCAGCTTTAAAACCTGAATTATAATCATGATAATGGTATGAAGTAATAACATTAATGATGTACACACAGTTTTAGCATAAGTAAATGTCCTTTGAATGAAATATACATATGGAAATACTGGATCAGAAACCTTAATATAAAGAGTCAGCCAACACTTGATATCAAGTTTCCTTTGAAAAAGGAATCAAAAACTCATCTATTTTAAATTGGCACAAAAGAGTACTGTCTCACTATTTCAATGTGAACTACGTAATCTTTAGGTTCAATATCAGAAGGACTTCACAGAGTCCAAAGGCAGTTGTTACCAGGTCCCCGATACCGTAGAAATGTTAACGCACCGTCGAAACACGGAGAATGTCAGTAGGGTAAAGTACTCCTCGTTCAGCATGCCTTGTGTGTTTGAGATCCAGAATTTGTTCAGCAAATTTGCAGCAGTTATGACTGAAGAAAGTTTTACAGTTGTTAAGCATGGGTTTTCCTTGTGGTAATTTTTGCAAAGCACCACCACATTTGCCGGTTTTCATCATGAAATGTCTCCCACTTCGAGTTTGGTGGCATTGTTATTTTAGATCCCTTGTCTTGCTATTTGTACTATCCTGATTCCTCGGGCCGTCAGAGATAGGTAGGCATGAGTTTTCAATCATTAAGTATTCTCTACCTGTGTGATTTCCCAATTTGACTGTTCAAGTTTGAATCCTGAGTATTTGGAAATGATTCAGAGGAAGGTGTATTTTTTCCATTTAAACAGTTCTTTGAGTCTAGATTGAACAAGCTTAAGTTTGAAATGAGATTTGAAACACTGGTGATTTTTTTAGCAATAATAAGGACACTGCACACAGTGACTGCATGTGTACCAAGTGTTCTACACAATACAGGACTGATATTACTAACATCAGGCTGCATTAGCTGTTGTTAAACTTCATTAAATTGATTTGTGTGTTATTTAGAGCAGAATGTTGTCTTTACTTATTCAAAAGAAAAGTTTGGGTTGCTGTGGTAAGTGAAGAAAACAGGTACATGTATCAAAAAGTGGGAATATTGGTGATATGTACAGTTAATGTGGAAAATTCACTACAAGAGGAATTTTAAAAAAAGTCAAGGAAACTATTTATGAATAGCTTTACATAAAAAAAAATTCTTATGCATAAGTAATCTTTGGACAGATCATATACCCTTGCTGACTTTGTTTTATGTGGACAGATTAAATACCATGCTGACTTTGAGAAGATGAAGGGTAAGAAATTGACAGTGGTGGATGATCCAGAAACCATGCGGATCAAACAAAACACAGCCATACAGAGCCAAGTAGAATACCACAAGGTCAAGGACCAGCTGAACGAAATGGAAATACGGCGCCCAGACCGAGAGGCTAGAGGTAGGGGCACCAGTTAACAGAACCAGTTTTTAGTGTTGTTGCTTACCCCAAACATGTTTGAATTTCACATTGCACAGATAAATATCACAGAGTGATTTCTCACCCAATGAAATAAAACTTTCCCCAAAACTCGTAGTATAATCTTTAGTTAAATTGGAATACATACAGTGTGTCTTCAGAAAGCAGTTTCAGCTTTTCCAAATGCTTATTGAATGTGAATTTTCTGATTTAATGAATTTTAAAAATAAATTTTTCAATTTGCTTGCTTGCCATTTTTATAAAACTAATATTCAAGATGAGTTGGATTTTGAAGCCGGATATGGTATGTTCTCTGCTATAATGCAGACATTTTATAAAGGATCAGTATCTACATGTATTTGACATCAGAGGACTTCTTCATTCAGACTGTGCCTGATTTCACATATGGACTCTTTGCAATCTGACTTTACTTGGAATGCCTCTTATTTTCTCAATTTCATGCATGCTATTCTCTATCCATGCTGACATTTTAGAGGGTCCCGCTCGTCCCCAGCCTGGAAAAATTAGCAATTATGAACCTGAGACTAACACAGGAGGTACCCCATACTCAATGAGAAACTCCCAAGCCCGTGTTGTTTACGACTCTAACATCGGCAAAGGTGAGTTATACCCCTTGTCCCTTGTTATCTGCTAGCTGCTCGAAAGCTTACGTGTGAGAAAAAAAAATCTGGAAAAAAATAAAATGTTAGTATCGAGCATGAGAAAATAATGATAGATTCACTGTTTGACTTCTGAAAAATCTAACATCTTGCTTTTTCTAACTCTCTCTTTGCAATTTCAATTGATGTTAACTTTTGACAGAATTTCACATTTTGGCACCGTTTTCCAACACTTCAACATATATTAGAGTTTACATACACAGTAACAATTAGTTAGTTACATGTTTTTATTTGTTTATCTTTTCATTCACTAGATGAAGGTACACAATTTTCAAATTCTTTTCCAGTAGCTTAATTGGTGCATTATAGAAGTAGCTAGCATGCTACTGGCATGACTTTGGTACTGACATGGTTAGGACTGTGTTCCCCCTCAGCATCCCTCAGTGTAGAGATTTACCCCAATGTTGCTTATATATTTAATCTTTTATCAGATACATGCATTACCTTATAAAATCAATTGTTTCTTTATGAACCTGTTGGTATAGTAAGTACTTATCAGTCAATACATGTACATGTGACTACAAACACAAGAATAGCAAAATAAGCATGACTTTGCCAAAATGGTTATATTATAAACTCATCCATTACATATGCTTTGTGAGTGCTTGAATATTTGAATAACTTAACAATTTGTATGATATATTTATTTATATTTGTAAAATATATATATTTTTATACTCGCAAAAATCTGAGCATTCTATCACATTTTTTTTTCAAAGATCATGGATTAATTGTAATTAGAGAAGAAAATTAGGTATTTTTATCCCTGATGAATATTTTTGATCTGTAAAAGGATAATTTCCAAGTCAACAGTGAACTTTAAAAATCATTTATTGTAGATGTAATTAAATAGATTACCCAAATCACAGCCACTTAGACAGACTTTTTTTGTGACTTAGAAAAGTTAGAAATTATTTATTGTAGACGATTTAACATAATTATATATTTATAGATAAAAGTTATTCTTCATTTATGTGTTGATAATATATTAACAGTAAATGTAGTAAAATGTAAGTTTTACTTCAACTGGCATTCTAGTGCATATAGATATATATGTCAGTGAATTCTGACAAATAAAACAAGAGGCCCATGGGCCACATAGCTCACCTGAGCACATTGGCTAGGGAAAAAAGCAAAAATCAGTACAGTATTGAAAAGTTTACAGGGAGGGGGGTGTTGAATTTTAAACTACCTGATGATGCTTTCATATCAATATAACAAATGGTTTTGTTGTTCTTGAGCAGCAGATTTTTTTCCCATATATTCATTTGTAAAAATTTGATCCCCCATTGTGGCCCCACCCTACAAGCTGTTCTGAAGAGGAAGATTTTTAAAGATATTTTCCTATATATTTCTATGTAAAACTTGGATCCCTCATTGTGGCCCCATCTTACCCCCGGGGGTCATGATTTGAACAAACTTGAATCTACACTACCTGAGGATGTTTCCATATAAATATGACCAATCTTGGCTTTACTGTTCTTAAGAAGATTTTTAAAGATATTTTCCAATATATATCTATGTAAAACTTTGATCCCCCATTGTGGCCCCACCCTACCCCCAGGGGTCATGATTTGAACAAACTTGAATCTACACTACCTGAGGATGCTTCCATATAAATATGACCAATCTTGGCTTTAATGTTCTTAAGAAGAAGATTTTTAAAGATATTTTCCTAAATATTTCTATGTAAAACTTGGATCCCCCCTTGTGGCCCCACCCTACCCCCGGGGGTCATGATTTGAACAAACTTGAATCTACACTACCTGAGGATGCTTCCACATAAGTTTCATCTTTCCTGGCCCAGTGGTTCTTGAGAAGAAGATTTTTAAATGATGCCATTATTTTTTCACGAATTCCTAATTATCTCCCCTTGAAAGAGGGCGAGGCCCTTCATTTGAACAAACTTGAATCCCCTTTACCCAAGGATGCTTTGTGGCAAGTTTGGTTGAATTTGGCCCAGTGGTTCTTGAGAAGAAGATGAAAATGTGAAAAGTTTACGACGACTCCAACGACGACGACGACGGCAGACAACGGACAAATTTTGATCAGAAAAGCTCACTTGAGCCTTTGGCTCAGGTGAGCTAAAAATTCTTTGATTGACCAACCTAAAGATGGATCAGAGTACATCTCATTATTAGTCGTATCAATTTTCAAGATTCAAAACATACGAAAAATGTAGACTTAAACATAGGAAACTATGTCAGTCAATTTCAAATGGTTTAAGTAGTATTGCATGTAAGATTGCATTTTTATTTTACCTGAGTATCAGTGCTATGCATCTGATAAAAGTTGGCGTTTGTTTGTGATGTACCTATATCCACCCACCTGCTTTAATAACTCGCAATTACTTCCTGGTTTTTGAGGTAGCATAGAGGGAGTAGTCAGTAGTTGCATCATTTTTCAGGGAGTAGTCATTAGTTCTGTAGTGCAAGAACAACTGGACCAAAAATGAAATATTGAATATAAAGAAAATTGACTCAAAGTTATTTTTTCTTGGAAGGGGTGTTAAACCAATGATAGAAGCAGATGGGATGATTGATGTTAAGTTGATGAAATGGAATAGAATAATTTCCCAGAAAAAAACTTAGCAGGAAAAAATATTGAAGCCGTGAAATAATTTAAGTTTGAGAGAATGTAAACAAATTAGTGAATAGGAAAAATCGAAATTTAAGTAGTCATAGACCTAAAAGTAGAATATTTGAATTAGATTAAAGGTTAGCTAGATGAAAAGTTGTGTGCAAAAATCTTGATTGTACACTTGATGAAAGACAGTCATGCGGTTGTGCATGTTTATGTCAAGAATTTGACAAGGCAGAGTTGGGGCATAACATTGTGAAATGAATTATTAAAACATTTATTGTTAAGTCTTATAATGGACTTTTTCTAGATTTGGAAGGTCCAGGTGTTCACGAGGGTAAGGCGACTTGTATTTTAATATGGAACTGTTTACAATATGTACCTCTTGTACATAAATACTATTTGACATTAATGTATAATGGGAAAATGTACTAATTCTATCTCATATTAATTATGTTATTGATTGCTTGAAGTGCATTTTTTCTCTATACTTATATTATAAATCATTTCTTTATTATCTTTTAGTTACAAGTATAACTTTTTTCCCCCTTGCTTTTGGTCTGTGGTGGATTTATGAACTCTTAGCAAGCTCATAATATGTACTTCATTCATTTATTATATTCTCTAGATAAGGATTTATAAAATTATTCCTCTTCTATCAAGTGTTAGTATATTACAAGGATTTTATAACCATGAACAAATTTTGCATCAAACCTTAAACAGAAATGAAATTTTTGCTTTAAACTAAGTATTGCATGTTCACACAACCACATAAATGAAATCAGTATTGGGTGGTATTTTTAACCAATGGCCTTGGTTTGTTATAACAACTTGAATGAAACAGAGTGCTGGTATTATTTTAAAATTTTCCTGTATTTATATAGATTTCCTTTTTCTTTCTTGAATGATATGAATATTAGCTCTCTAAACATCTTTATTTATTTTGTCAATTCAAATATTTCCTTGATAAAATTTTAGCAACTTTTCTGTTTTAATGCTTAACTAACACTTTCAACATAAAATATAGAAATTCTAAGAATCTGCTGACTCTCTAAGTAATCTGTTTTAATAATGTTGTAATTTTCAGTGGAGGACGTCCCAACACGTCGGGTCGGGTCAATTTCTGATTATGACCCGATGAACAATCAGTTTGGATCCATTGGCAGATATAGTGGAGGTATGCTTTGCTAACATGTAAGCAGTGCGTGGAAATAAAGCTGGTCCATAAAATCCTCATGGCTTAACCTGGTCTTGGTCATTTGGGTCACAGATACCTGTGTGTCTGAGCAGATTGTTACTGTTTCTGGTATTGTCCAATCTTTATTCAGAATGTTTTCTTGTATAAGGCATAGACCATAAGGCACCAAAAGTGGGCTAGTCAGCTGTAGCTAAAAATCTCTGCTTATATGATTGCCTTGGCTCAAGTCTGGCTCTGTACATATACCAGTTTAACTGCTGTTTGTTGGCTTAACAGTCAGACAATCACTACTTTTAATAAATACATGATTTTATTAATAATCCATCTTTGAGGGTATCTAAAGCCTGCTGTAATATGACACATTCATTAAACCCTGCCACTGTATGTATGTGTATTTGAAGATTTTTCAGTGTTGAAGAAATTTGAATTGATGAAATATTGATATTGTAGTGTACAATAAAGGCCTTGGGTAAATTTTGTATATACGTTTAAATGTTATACTGTTTTCAGGAGATCCTGAACCTCCACGAGGTTACCAGGCCCCACCCCCTCAGAGTTACCAACCCCCTCCCCCACAGCCAGCAATGCCTCCACCATCAGAAGGGGTAAGATTAAATCTACCTGAGCAGTAATTACACAGCAGATGTATCTAGCTTGAGGTCAAAAGATTTATGATATATGAATGGGCATATTGTAAATCAGGCTAAAGTGCAAAGGAAGGGAAACTACTCAATTTTATTTTTAATAGAACAAATGTACAGCATAGCAATATTCAGACAATTTTACAATGTCTTTTTAAAATTCAAATATTTTTCTTTTTCCAATTGAATATGCAAGTAGAAAATACAACTAATATGTCAAAAAACACATGATTTGACCTGTTTAAACCTGAAAAGTATTGCATTATCATAAACAACTTTAAATGTTGAACCATTTAAAGCCCTCTTAAATGACTTCTTAAACTTACGGAGTAACAGCAAGGAAATAGTTTTAGGATTTTCAGATTCAACAGAGTAATATTTCAGTTTTTATTTCTTTTATTTGCCACAAACTGATAAAAACCTGTAAATATATATCTGTCTCAATACCTATTCATCTGTCTAGATAATTTTGATATTATCCAGCTCTGTTACACATATATGTGTAATACAGTTGAACTTCGGTATCTCGAACACTGATATCTCAAATACCATGGATATGTCGAAGTGATTTATAAGTCCCAACTACTTATTCTTTAGGTATTTTACCCTCGATATCTCGAATCATCGGATATCTCAAAGTTTTTTCTCTGTCCCTTGTAGTTCGAGATAACGAGGTTTGACTGTATATATAAAGTTTAATCACCCCCCCCCCCTACATATGATTTTATATATGATATTTGATTTTCTATAGATGGTGTGTAAAGCTCTCTACGACTATACGTCAGCTGACGTAGATGAAGTGTCGTTCCAGGAGGACGACTTAATTATCCAGTGTCAGCCAATCGACGAGGGCTGGATGGAGGGTACTGTCAAACGGACCGGACAACGCGGAATGCTGCCCTCAAACTATGTGGAGCCAGTCAACTAGGCCAACAACTATTTAGGATTCAATTTATCAAAGTTATTATAAAAGTTAAATGTTATTTCTAAAATATTAGCTTTTATGAAGTTACCTCCCTTTTATCTCTGTACATACTAGATATATATCTGTGTATATATATACATTATTGCTGCTTTAGGTTTTATATAACACACCTGTTTTAAAGCAGTGTTTCAGTCAGGCTGAGCCCTCAGTCTTCCCTCTATATTTAAAAGAAGAAAAAAATGCATGAACTCTTCACAGCTTTTATTTCTTTCGTTTGTTTTCATTTTTCATTGTAAGATTTTGCAATTCCTGTAGAATTATAACGCTTTCTTTTTCTTAAATGATAATTACTGGTACTTTAGCCTTTCTCCTTTGTCTCATCGCCCAGGCATTTGTAAATGATGTAAACCCAGCCCTTAAATAATTGAACTATCATGCAATGAATCAGTATTAAATACAGTACAGACAGAAGCAGTGGTTGAAACAGCCATACAGGACAGAGTCTAATCATGTGACTGATATATGTACAAAGATATGACATGTAGCATTATTCTAGGTTATTATATACAGGGAATTTGCAACTTGGTGCAATCTAAATAGGACTTCTTATCCTTGTTGAATCCTGGTGACATTCATAAAGTATACAATTTTAATTACACTTGTACATTTTTATTTCCAATGACTGACACAATTTGTGAATTACTTTGATTTTCTTTTTGGGCATGCTCACATTTATGCATATACATGTACATGTATTCTGTGGAAATTTAAGCTTTATTGCTTTGTAATTTGCTGTTAAATTATTCTAATAAAAATGCTGCCAATCATTGAACAAATTAAAGAGCCAACAGTATAAGCTGTACTGTTGGATTTAGTTACTGGAATGTTTATTGTATACGATGGTTCATCTTATCGCCTTGTATCGCCATGTTTTTGCACATTTTTTATGTAGCTAGAGTAATTTTTTGATATTTTTATCCTTGATCTGTTCTAAAGCCAAAGAAAGTTTTTGATTTTTAGATTTTGAAGTTTGTAAAATTTTTGAAAATATTTTGAAATTTAAAAAAAAAACATCAGTTTTTCTGTCTGTGTAACTTACTGATTTTTTTTCATTTTGACAGATGCTGTATTTGGTTTTATGAGAGTAAATAAAAATCTGTTAATATGTTAATAATACATATAGAATCAGTTGTAATAAAATGGCAAGTTAAGTTGTTTGAAGTCACAGACAGTGAAGTAAAACATTACACAAGTAATCAGAAATCACATTTTTCTGTTCAGGAAATAGATTGGCTTGGTTTCATAAACTACTGAATATTGATTAAAAGAGTTATGTAGATATTTTAGTTGACTTGTTGTTGGTTTGTTTTGTTGTATCGTCTGAGCGCACTCATGGAGTAAGGAGTACACATTCTGATGCACAATGCACAAACAACTCTCTCCTGTTGTCATTAATAAAACAAAATAAGTCCATTAGAAATTCTTTCCTATTAAAGCTTTGGTTGGTGACAATGCGTAATATAGTGGGAGTCACACGTCTTTTAATTTAGTCGGGTTCAAACATCCATGCTTGTCTGCTAGAGTAAAAGAAATGATCGTTGGATTGGCGTGAGGATCCTAGAGGAGTGTTTACTGTGGTGGATCTAGAGGTGTGGAGGGGTGTTACAGGTGTTTTCTTCTGCCTTCCCCGACCAATGTCAGATGGGGACACGGTCCTAGGGGACACAGTGTGTATAGGTCGTGATGCAGCATCTGAAAGAGGCAGATTTTTTTATCTGAATTAACCACATTGCATTGTTTCATCATGTATCATTTGTTGGAAAAGTTTGGTGATACTATCTACAAAACCATTTTGTAAGCAAGCTAGTCCGAAGTATCTGACGTTTTCCATGCTTTTTTTCACGATTTTGATATTTTAAGTGCAGGTCGGACTATAAGCAAGCATGGTAATTATTTTTGAACATATATTGACAAAACGGTATCATGTTCTATGAAGAATTGTTAGTCAACCTCTAAGCCTAATATTGTAGTATGTCCTCGAATGTGAAGTCTGAGAGACTGTCTTAGAACAGTTGTAGTCAGTGGGCAATAGATCTGACGATTCGGACAACCTTCAGATATTTAGGTAATTCTAAGTCATAATGGACACCTCAAGTGATATTTTATTCATATACGGGCCAATACTTGATTTAAGGAATAACTGTCTAATTTTTTGGATTCATGATGTGATCAATCGAGTGGCTTGCGTGATAATTTGCATAAACGCCGAAGGCGTTCATGCATAAAATTATCACGCAAGCCAATCGATTGATCATCGTCATGAATCCAAAAAATCTGACAGTTATTCCTTATTAATAGACAATTCGCACAAGTGCTGAGAATAACTTAAGTGACTTTGATTGGTAGAATAAGTAATGCAAAAGGTCTACTAACAGGCCAATCTGCTGAGCTCGGCCTCTACCCATCGTGAGTTTAAGTACAAAGTACCTTAACCTATGTTTTCCAAATACATTGAATGTACTCTGTATGATGTTACTATGAAGTTATATTTACCCCCTGAAACATTTGAAATTCAAGACAATTACCTGTATCGCTATCTTCATGAACTGGAGCGATGCCCACTGTTTTAGCTTGTTTGATCCGTTTCTTGCATTTGCAAAAGGCTATACACGCAAACGTAGATACAATGACTATGACACTAATGGCCACCATAAAGATAATCCCCAGCATCCAATCCCAGCGGCTGGACATGGTCACGTGGGGACAGTGGAGGGAAAAAGTCACTACAGCGGCATGTTGATGGTTACAATCCAAAATATGAAATCTTTTGATGTGTGCTCCTCTTTGATTTTAAAGTGAATGGCTGGAGGTTGAATGGATGTGCAATACAAGGACATACTTTTGGTCCTAGCATGCACTCCAGTGAAGAATGCAGTGATTTTTAGTCTAAAGGATTTGAGTATTCACTCTCATTGATTCGACCTTCTTAAATGCTGCTCTTTAACCTGATTATTATAAATAGGGTGTCCACTAAAAATACAAATCTGGGCTCACTAGTTTGATAAGCGGTTTATAAGTTAATGTTTTACCTACATTGTATTAAGTACTACAGGAATTATTAACGCTTATCTGAGAGATCCGCACATGACATTACTGTTAGGTGACCGACTTAGTTAATCCTGCTTGGAACTAATCTTGTATCGGTGACCTTTGATTGAATTTAAATTGTCATTTTATTTAATATCAAAATCATACTTGAAGTGAAAGGGTCCTTCGGATGAGACCTCTAAAACCGAGGCCCCGTGTCACAGTAGGCACGATGAAGAATCCTAACTGCTCAATGGCCCTGAGTTGAGTTCTAGATCTAAAGCCCTTCACCGGTATTTGGTGATGTCTCATATTATTGAAAAATTCTCGCAAGGACGTAAAACAACAATCAATCGACAGGAACGTATATTGATTGATTGATTGTATGTTGTTTAACGTCCCATTCGAGAATTTTTCACTCATATAGAGACGTCACCATATACAGGTGAAGGGCTTCAAATTTTGACCTTTACTCGGCACTCAGGGCCATTGAGCAGAGAGGGATCGTTATCGTGCCAACGCCTGCCGTGACACGGGGCCTCGGTTTTTAAGGTCTCATCCGAAGGACCCGCAACTTTCACCTCAAAGTGCCGAGCGTCTGGCGAAGGAACAGTTGCTACCTATTTCTATCGACATAGGTCAGTCGCGGCAGAGATTCGAACTCACGACCTCTCGATTACGGAGCGAGCGCTCTACTGACTGAGCTACCGTGAACGGTGACAGGAACGTATAAATCTATTGGACAGAACTTATGAATCTCCCTATAGGACGCAAACTTATATAAAATTATCTCATTGTATAGGGCTCAAAGAACGTTGTACCTAATTGCACAGGACACAAAATATCATGTACCGTTTTATACTACTATGGTATCTCATTCTATAGGACACTGGCAACCAATTATCTTATTGTAGAGTACAAAAACTATCATTGTACAGGACACAGGCTATCATCTATCTCATTGTATAGGACACAAACTATATAATTTATCTCATTGTATAAGACATAAACTATAACATTTATCTCATTGTATTGGACACAAACTATAACATTTATCTCATTGTATAGGACACAAACTATAACATTTATCTCATTGTAAAAGGACACAAACTATATAATTTATCTCATTGTAAAGGACACAAACTATAACAACTCATTGTATAGGACACAAACTATAACATTTATCTCATTGTATAGGACACAAACCATAACATATACCTCATTGTGTGGGACACAAACTATAACATTTATTTCATTGTATAGGACACAAACTATAACATTTATATTATTGTACAGGACACAAATTATAACATTTATCTCAATGTATAGAATACAAATTATAACATTTATCTCATTGTATAGGACACAAACTATAACATTTATCTCATTGTATAGGACACAAACTAATAACATTTACCTCACTGTATAGGACACAAACTATATAATTTATCTCATTGTATAGGACACAAACTATAACATTTATCTCATTGTAAAAGGACACAAACTATATAATTTATTTCATTGTACAGGACACAAACTATAACAACTCATTGTATAGGACACAAACTATAACATTTATCTCATTGTATAGGACACAAACTATAACATATACCTCATTGTGTGGGACATAAACTATAACATTTATTTCATTGTATAGGACACAAACTATAACATTTATCTTATTGTACAGGACACAAATTATAACATTTATCTCATTGTAAAAGGACAACAACTATATAATTTATCCCATTGTTTAAGACACAAACTATAACATTTATCTCATTGTATAGGACACAAACTATATAATTTATCTCATTGTATAGAATACAAACTATAACATTTATCTCATTGTATGGGACACAAACTATATAATTTATCTCACTGTATTGAATAAAAACTATAACATTTATCTCATTGTATAGAATTCAAATTATAACATTTAACTCATTGTATAGCACACAAACTATAACATTTATCTCATTGTATAGGACACAAACGATAACATTTATCTCATTGTATAAGACACAAACTTCAACATTCATCTTATTGTATAGGACACAAACTATATCATTTATCTCATTGTATAGAATACAAACTATATAACATTTATCTCATTGTATAGGACACAAACTATATCATTTATCTCACTGTATAGAATAAAAACTATAACATTTATCTCATTGTATAGGACACAAACTATATAATTTATCTCATTGTATGGAATAAAAACTATAACATTTATCTCATTGTATAGAATACAAATTATAACATTTATCTCATTGTATAGAATACAAACTATAACATTTATCTCATTGTATAGGACACAAACTATATCATTTATCTCATTGTATAGAATACAAACTATAACATTTATCTCATTGTATGGGACACAAACTATAACATATTCCTCTTTGTATAGGATACAAATTATACTGTTTATCTCACTGTGAAGAACACAAACTATCTTGTAGCTCATTGTATAGAGAAAAAAACTACTATGTACCTCATTTTATAGGACTCAAACTATTATTTATTCCATAAGACACAAACTACCACTCATCTCATTCTATAGTATAAAAAACACTAGGATAACATTTACTTTATTCTGCATGAACAGGTGCCATTAACTGTATCTTTTTTCTAGAGCACAAATACTACCAATTATCTCATACTATAGGACACAAACTATCAGTATTTCATTCTACAGGACACACTGTCTGATATTTCAGTGTAGAGGACACGAAACTATTATGTATTTCATACTACGGGTTACGAACTAGACTGTACTATGTATTTATTTTATATAAAATATGAAGATAACAAACAGGAATCAAGCTCAAAAGTCCATTGAAACAATAGGGCTTTGGAACAGAGCAAACACGGACCTTTTAAAAACATCTCTTTGTCATGATCGGGCAAACGGAAAAAAATACTACATACTTCATTCTACAGCACCAAAACTTACGATAAGATTTAAACAGTTGTCATTAATAAATAAAAAGTATGTTTATCATAGCTAATAGAAAACACAAAAACATATTTTTCACAAATATTACAAACTAATGTTTATCATTAAAATTAAGCAATATGTTTGTTGAATATCTCATCATATTTTTGACATATGAAATTTGACGTACATTCAATTTATGCTTAAAACATATGTATTCTTCTAAATATTTATATGATTTACATGAAAAGGATGAAGGAAACGAACAGTGATCAATCTCATAAGTTCTGTAAACAAACAAAAGGTGAACAGGACAAAATACTGACCCCTGAAAATACAAGAGGTGGGATCAGGTACCAAAGAAGAGAAAATATCCCCTGTCGACCGGTCACACCCGCCTTGATCCCTCTGTATTGATCCCGTAAACTCAGTAATCTGTCGTCAAAATTAATATAATACTAATATATATATTTATAATAAAAAGATTGCAATTAATATTAAACATGTCCCAACGATATGTTGATTTTGCAAATAAGGTCATTACATAACGACCATAGAATTTACGAAATGCTGACTTTAAACTAGGTTGTTGAAATCACTGAACATCAACTTATAATTCATAAGCCTGCCTCGGTTTAAAAAATGATCATACTCAGAACATGCTCTTGTGTATCAAAATAGTTGGGAGACAAAACACCGTATGCAGGTGATAGCGGAATACTACTACATAAATAAGAAAAGTTGACGATGGAAAAGCTGAAGTCATCTTGATTGTCATACAATTGTTTTTGGTCCTTATCGTCTGTAGTCAGTAAAACATCCAAATATGAACAGATGTGACAGACTCTGTGGTTTGTTTACTAGGTTATATCGAGTCGACATATGAATGGAATTATTGTTAATTGATAAAACGTCGATCGTCGATATATCTGAATGTCAAGTTGATGGCTGCAGCAAATGTTAAATTCTTTTCATGTAGAAATTTTTGAATGAATTCTGCTTCATATATGGGAATATAAAATCAGGTAGCACAATTAGTTCCCATCGGAATTCCAACAGCTTGTTGGAAGACCAGGCTCCTGGTCCATAAAACTTAGACGAACTAACTTTTGATCTCAGTCTCACTTTTACAAAAGGAATATATAGTGGAAAAGTGAGACTGAGATCAAAAGTAAGATCATCTAAGTTTTATGGCCCCGGAGCCAGGTCTCCAAATATTACATGTACATAGGTGTCAATGAGGAACTCAAGCATCCTTTTAATTTCAACCTCAGAGTACTTGTGTAGTACTTGTGTAGAATCAGAGTGATTTTTAACAAAGTATTACAGTAAGGTTGGACGTGAGTTCACGAAGCGCAGAAAACGCAAGAAGTGGCAGAAGAAATGAAAACACATGTACTAACACTGCTTGAATTATACCTTAAAAGATAAAATTAAGGAGAAGAACTATCAGTACAATGGAGAGGTTCCAGAAAGGGACAGGTAAAAAAAAATCTTGACAAACATGCACACACACGCACACAAAAAGAATATAACGCTAGCTGCTTTTGACATCAGTGCCACATATTCAGTTGATTAGGCTAAATGAATTATTATTAACTCTTTACATAGAGATATATTTCCAGCCATCTTTTTTTCATTGGAAGGGGGTGGGGCACATATGATATCCGCCACTTTAGACAAGAGCTACACCTTCTGTTTGGGTGCTGCTGAACTCTGGGCATTAGAATAAAAGCTATAGG